TGGTGGGGGCGATCAATATGGCCTCAGCGGGCATCAGATCAAGAACTGAAGCTGCGGGTGCGGCTGCACACTCTCTCCGTCAGGCTCTCCCAGACCTGTCCGACCAGCAGTGTCGGGGACATCCATGGCCCGTAGCTTCTGACGACCATGACATCTCTTCCGCCCCCCCCCCCCCTGCCCCCCGCCTTGGTCTTGCATTGCTCAGTTCTCCGCCCTCCCTGACTTGCTGCCCTCCTAAGCGCTAGACGGGCCCACCTGCCATGCTCCTCACGATGGAGATGAGTGCGCGCGAGCGGACCGTACCGGGAGGGGCCCATGACCGAGGTGAGACAGTCAGCAAGGCAGGTCTCTCACGCCCTGCAGGCCGGGACCCGATGCCTCGCTCTTGATGTGGTCGCCTTTATCTCGATGCATCGCCTGCCCTCCCGCATGGAGCTCACGGTCCTGCTCACGGCCAGTGTCGGTGCGGGAAAGAGGGAGGGAGGGGGGGGCTGGGAGGGGATGGGGAGGCATGGCAACGTGTTGCTTTATTCCTGTACATAGTCTACAGCCTCCTGCCTAGTGCCGCCCGTCGGGCTGGCGAGGCTCTCAGCGCCGGAGGCTTGTCCAGGGTCTACCTGAAGTCCGTCACGAGGTTGAGCTCGTCCGAGACGACGCAGGGAGTAGGGCTACAGCCGTAGTACTGGAGGAAGACGGCCGGGATGGAGGAGTCGTCAAGGCCCAGGCGGGAGGAGGCGGAGAGGTCAGCGGTGAGAGTCGACGTGTATGGCACCATCAGCAGACGATCAGCGAGCAAGGGCACGCCAGCGCGGGTCTTGGGCGAGTAGCAGGGAGGAAGGGGAGCAGCGGGGAGGGCTGACAAGCAGAGGGGGCTCTGGGGCGGAGACAGAAGGGAAGGAGGCTTGAGGACAGGCGGAGGCAAGGGAGACCGAGTGTGAAAGGGGGGGAGGCTGGAGCTTGGAGGGAGCTTGCTGGGGCTTACAGGAGCGGGGAAGCAGTGATGTGCAGGAGCAAGGGGGGCAGAGCCTTTTTATGCGGTAGAGGGGCGGGGCCGGCTGACGACGGAGCTGACGCCGGTGCGAGGCTGTGAATCGCATCGCTTGGCAGGGGATACAGAAGGGAAGGAGTTGGTACCGTGACCTTGCCAAGGTCGGACAAATGGTACCGTGACCTTGGGACAGATAGAAGGATCGGACGCCTGTCGGGGTATACCGGAGAGTGAAATCGCATCGCATCATCAACCGCATCTTGCTTTGCACCTCGTCACGGGCCGGTCACGCACTGCTACGGCAGTGGCGGCGTCATTCGAAGGTTTCTCGTTACCCGGGCCCGCCGGGAGTGACGGCCTGGGCCACTCGGACGGGGCTTGTGGAGTCGCGGCAGTGTGAGCATCTCAGTGACGGCCATCGGTTCATGCCCGGCCGGGCCGGCACATGCGGTCGGACGGTAGCCTTGCCTCACCCTTGCCCGGTAGCCCTACTACGATAGTAGCCTCACTGTAAATGGCTCAAGGGTAGTATGGGGACGGTCTAGGAACTTGTCACGGAAGACTCATAAGTGCTGCCAGTATCGTAGGAGTGATCCGAATGGCCTCAGCGGGCATCAGATCAAGAAGCTGCGGGAGCGGCTGCACTCTCTCTCTCCCAGACCTGTCCGACCAGCAGTGTCGG